ATATCCCACAATTCATCAAGAGAAAGATAAATTGCAGCTTTAACTTTGTCCAGAAGTTCACTTGAATTTATTTCATAATATTCATAACTATGCTCACTATGTCTACGATTATGCTTGCGCCCATGACCATGACCACGACCATGATTATGACCACGTTTATGACCACGACCATGACTATTACCTTGCCTTTTGTTTTTATCAATCTTATAACAAATGTTTTTTAAATCACAGTAATGATCAGAACTAGCATCAGAATCTTCAATATTGCTATTAGTACTATTATCAGTTTTATCAGTTGTATCTATATCCTCTGGTCCATATATTAAATTCATGTAATCATTTATTGTATTATTACCAGTTGGGGCAAATTTTTGTTTTAATAACTGCATATAAGGATATATTAAACTGATAGTAGGATACATTGCACCAGAAAAATGTCGAGTAATTACTTCACATAGTGCTAAAAGGTTTACCATATCACTGATAAAACTAAAAAAAAATTTAAAAAATAAATTAAATATGCATAAAAAAAACAAATTACTATACATTATTAACAATCTGCACATTACTTGAAATATGGATTAAAAAAATGAATAATTAAAATAACCCAAATAGGTAACAATTTATACATATTAAATAAAAAAAAAAATTATCTAAATTCTTCAGAATTAAGACGTAATTTATTAAGATGTTCACCTTCCTTACGAACTTGAGCAATTTGTAATGAACAAAGAGTAGCAGCAAGACTTCTAATAGCATCATCTAATCTTATTATTCTTTTCCATGCAAGATACGAACTATTCCAACATGTTTTACAGTCAGTTAAAATATCTACTAGTTCTTATTGATCAATAATATTGTCTTGATCTTGTTGCATAATTTTTTTTGTGCATCACGAAGTTGTTGAGCGTGTTTTGGACTACAGAAAAAATTTTGTAAATTTTTAAGTTGTTTATGAATTATTGCAATCTGTTTAATTCTAGCTTGAACTGAAAGCTGAAGCGTATATGCAGTACAGGGTAAATGTTTTATTAATGTAAATTCTTCTGCTAATAAACGGCAAGCTTTGATCATATTAGATCCATTATCTGTAACAATAGTAAATACTTTATTATCTAAATTCCAATCTTGAATAATTTTTTTTAACTCATCCATGATAACTTCGCTTGTATGTGAATATAGAAGATAATGACAAGACAAAAGTGCTTCTCTAAATTTATAATTTGAATCTAGCCAAGTTGCTGTAATGCCAAGATATTCATGTTTACTTTTGGCCATCCAAAGATCTGTAGTAAGATTAATAGTTTGTGCAGTATTTTTAATTAATTCTATCATTTGAGTATGAGTCCAATTATATGCACCACAAATAATATTTTTCACAGTTTTGTCGCATGGAATAGAATAATCTGGCACACATTCATACATTAATTCTCTAAATGATAAACATTTTAAAATGCATAGCGGTTGAACATCACAAATAGACCTGTGGGTTGGTAGCGAAGTGGTTACGCTCCCAGGTCACCAATCGTAAGGTTGCCGGTTCAAGTCCAACGGGGGACGAAAACTGAG